AGGTTATTTACAGAAAGTCATGTGAGAAACTTCTCTAGCAGAATGTAAACTCAGAAGCTTGAGAAAACCTTAAGAATCAGGACGACAGGGTAGGGCAGCAGGGGACAGCTTTGGGCTCATTTTTTGGGGTGCTCACAGCGTGAAGGGCTGAGCGAGAGCAAAGTGCTGATTGCAAGGCCCACAGGAAGGTTTGTTTTTTCCTCAGGGCCCCCTGAAGGGCTTCCTGGAGGCGCTGGGGAAGCTGCAGAAGAAGTTCTACTCCAAGGGGCTGAGGCTGGAGTGTCCCATCCGCACGTACCTGGTGACGGCGCGGAGCGCGGCCAGCTCGGGGGCCCGCGCCCTAAAGACTCTGCGCAGCTGGGGCCTGGAGACGGACGAGGCTCTGTTCCTGGCCGGGGCTCCCAAGGGACCTCTGCTGAGGAAGATCCGGCCCCACATCTTCTTCGACGACCAGATGTTCCACGTGGAGGGAGCGCAGGAGATGGGCGCCGTGGCCGCCCACGTCCCCTACGGCGTGGCCCAGAGGCACAAGCAGCACAAGCAGCAGACCACAAACAGCAAATAGAGGGGCTGGGGGGTGGTGGTGGTGGTGGTGGGGTGGGATGATCCCCAAAAACCCCCCCCAGCATGGATTTCATCCCGTGGGCCGCGCTCCCTGCTCTGTTTGTGCTGGGAATGGGAGCTCATCCCCCCGCTCAGGGGGTGCAGAGAGGTGGGGGAGATGTCCCTGGTGCCTCTGCTCGTGGGGGTCTGGTGGCATTGCTGCTGTTCCTCACAGGGTTCCTCTGTGCCAGGAGATGTTCTCCCACTTCATCCGTGAGCTTTTCTTCGGGCAAAACCCCCCCCCGAGGGTGGGTCTGCCTCCGTGTGGAAATCTTTGTGCCAGGAAGGTTGATCCTATTTATTTAAAACCCCCAGTGATTCCCAAAAGCTTTCTGGCTTCCCCAAGCAAATGGTGGACTGGAAAATTGGGAGCGCTCAAAAAAACCTTCCGAGCGGCTTTGAAACAAAATTTTGTCTCTTTTCACTGGAATTAAACCATGAAATTGTTCCTTGCCAGCCCCAGCTGCTGCTCCCCAACCAGAAAATACTCAATATCCGTCCTTTCACCAAGATTTTGCCAGCTTAAATTTGGAAAAATAGAAACAAATACTTAACATACTAAAAAAAAAACCCAAAACAATTCCTGTTTCCTGCTTGGAGCTTTGGGCTGGTGTATTGTTGGCCCAGGTTTTTATATTTGGGTTTCACACTTGCATGATTTAACACTTAAAACGAATAATCTCAGTGAGCATCCAAAGCCCAGCTTGTCCAAGGGCTGCAGACACATGCCCAGGGCTTGAATTAAGTTAAAAGCAGGCCTTGATATATTAGGGACATCATTTGAAGTCCATTTAGGTAGATCTGCAGAGAATTTCAGCCTGGGGATTTCAATTAAAGGATTTTTTTTTCTCCCTTTCTAGGCTGAGCCCATATGAGTCGATAATCTTTTTCTCCTCAGCTTCTTAAAACCTCTGGTGTTTCCTGAAATAGATACCTCTGGTAGCGATGCTGTGAGAGAACCAAATCTCTGATTAAAAAACAGGATGGGAAATCAATGGGAGAGAAACTGGTGTGAAAATCACACTGACATTTCTGCTCAAAGCCCTGTCCCAAAGGAGACACTCGGGAGGAAAATTCAAAGATTTTTTTTTTCTTCCTTGTGGGTTTTTCTTTTCCTCTTTTTTTTTTTTTTTTTTTTTTTTTTTTTTNATGACATCCCACAGCTGAGCAGGAAAGCTGCTCAATATTATCAGGCAGTTTTCTACAAATTCCACGGGCTGAAATTTTCCAAGCTGTGTGTCTGGCTCTTTCCAGGGATGTTTCAGCTCAAACAGTGAAGCTGGAGCTGGAGTTATCACTTCTTTTTTTTTGAGGAATATGTAAATAACCAAGCTGGTGATGCCTTCAGTGGCTCGGGAGATTTTTCTCATTGCACTAAATCCTACTCTAGCAGTGAAAAGCAAATTGCACTTTTCCCCCCCCCAAAAAAAATTCTTTGGCAGGCTGTTAACTGTCACATCTGGGTGACAAACACCTCGGAGGAAGGTCTAAAATCCAAACAAACAAACTAAAAATCCTGGGAGAAACAAGTTGCTGAGTGTCACATCCGCCAGCACTCAGCTTTATAGAAAGGTCTTGTCTTTTTTTTTTTTAATGTGAACCCAAGATTTTGGGATCTGAACTGGATCTTGGAGACCTTTTTGGCAGCTGGGAGGGGGAGCCCAGCCAGTAAACATTTCCAAGGTGTTTCCTGAAGATGGTGGAAGCCCAGCCAAGCCTGGATGTTGCAGGAGGACTGGAATTGTCAGGCAGCCCTGGGGAGCAGGGCAGGGTGCCAGCGGGGCTGGGGGCACGGGGCTGTGTCCGTGGGGTGATCCAGAGCTGATGCTGCTGATGGCAGGAGGAGAGGGATGCCATGGGGAGTTCTGGTTTTGGGGCAGAACCTTGGATTTGAGCAGATTCCTGCTGCCTCTCCAGGCCCTGAGGTGCACAGGGTGCAAACTGGGGTTTTAGTGACCCTTTTTTGGGTCCTCCTGCAGCCAGGGCAGTTTGGGGCTCCCTGGAGGTGTGGGGCTCAGGAAATGGAGCCCCAGGTGAGCCAGACCTCCCCAAATCCTTCCCCAGCAGGGAGGATTTTCCATTCCCACCGTGGCTGCCCCTTTTGCTTTTCTCCACGTGGCTTCCCCTGGTTTTGTTTGAGTTTTATTTTTTTTTTCCCCTCCTCCATCAGTACAAGTGGAAGACAAGGACTTGCTGCTTGTGTACTTCCCTGGGCTGGGAATATCCCTGGGATCATCCCTGGGATGGGCACTTCTCCCCAGGGCCCTGCTCTCCTGGCTGCCAACTGGACTTTTCCTGCTGTGTGTTGTTGCTGTGCATTTCACTTCATTGTCCTCAGGTGTTTTTGGGTTTGTTTTTTTTTTTTTTGCCATGTTAATAGGATCTCCCTGGGGGTGTTTTTCTGTAATAAACCGTGTTGGTCCCAGCCCGGCTCCCTCTGTTCTCACAGTGAGAATTTGGTTGCTCTGAGCTCCCTGCTTGGGACCTCTCGGGTTTTGTGGCGATGGGGCAGGCGTGACAAGAGGGAAAAGGGGGTTTTGGGGTTTAAGGGGATTCAGAAAATGTGATTAAAGCTCCTACTTGGAGCCTGGAGTGGTGGGATGCCAGGGGTGGGATGTGCCGTGGTACAACCACCTCCCTCTGCTTCGTGAGCAGCTTTTGTGGGGCTCGTGGTGGAGCCCTGGATAAAAATACAGCTCGGCAGGAGACTTTTGTCAACTTGATCTTCTCCCGGCCAACAGGTGGGAGGCAGCACGAGCTCAGCAGAGGAGATTTATGGCTGCTGAAGTGCATCTCCATCACTGCAGCAGCGCCGGCTCCTCCCCGCCGGCGAGGGCAGCAGATGGACCGAGGGGAAGCAGCAAATTCTCCATCCACCACCAAATATAGCCAAGGAATGTCCGTAGGCCCCAGGGCAGCATCCCTGCTATGGCTGCTCATTTAAGGGGTGGATGGCCCTCAGCAGAGCTTCCCCCAGCCCTGCTTGGAGGGAGGAAAAAAAAAATAAAATAATTTAAAAAAATCCAATTCCAGCACAGATTCCAGCCTGAGCTGCAGCAGGGAAAGTCCAGGTGTGTCCATACAGCCCTGGGAGGTCGGGATGACCACGGCAAAGCCAAAAGCTGCAAGGACAACCCCAAGGCCTGGGTTGTGAGAGGCTGAGATCAGGGAGGGGACAGGGGGAGCTTTGTGCAGGTGGATTTGGGATGCCTGGCTCGGCTTTGCTGCAAGCCGGAGGTTTGGATTTTGTCTTCCAAGCTTTTCCCTGGATCAGGGCTTTGCAGGGAGCGTGCTTTGAAATAAAGCCCGTGCAGGAGGAGGAGGAGGAGGAGGAGGAGGAGGAGGAGGAGGAGGAGGAGGAGGCAGGGCTGGTGGGAATTATGCTGCCACTCAGCAATTGCCAGCACAGATGTTCCCGAGGTAATCAGCGCCCTGAATAGCAGGAGCTGATTTGCATGACGAATCCAGCATTTAACCCCAAGAACTCGTGGGGTGTCTTGAGAGAGTGGGACACCTCTGGTGAGCGTGGCAGACAGGTTGGGCAGAGCGTGGACTCTGCTCTCCTGGTCCTTCGTGTGCCCCTGGGGAGTTGTGACAGGTCCCTGCCTCAGTTTCCCCATTGCCATGGCAGAATTTGGAATCCCAGCTTGGTTTGGGTTGGAAGGGACCTCAAAGCCCATCCAGTGCCGCTCCCTGCCATGGGTAAGGACACCTCCCACTGTCCCAGAGTGCTCCAAGCTCCTCTGAACCTGGCCTTGAACGGTGAATCCAAAACAGATGAATGATCCAGAGGGAACAGAGGATGATTCCAGCTCCTCAGGGAGGCAAAGCAGAAACCCTGGGGTGCTCTGACGTGCAGCGAAACCCCTGCAGATGTTGGTGTGTGGGGACCACACAAATCCAGGTCTGTCCTGTGGCCCAGGCGGGACCTCCTCTGCAGCACGTTCAGTTTTACATCCTCCCTGGAGGGGGGAACAGCCAACAACCCCAGCAGGAACCTGCAGCCAGCCCAGGGGGATGAAATGGGGCAGGGGACCTGGTGACAGGGTGACAGAAACACCCAGGGCTGGAAGGACAGATAAGGGGACCTGGCGGCAGGAGAACAAGCAAAGGGCACTTGCTATCAGCGCCGGCAGGGCCGTGCCAGGGTTTGAGCAGCCCGACCATCTCGTCCCTTCAACACCGCTATTTTTAGCCGTGGCTGCTGACACCTCTGTCACCAGGGCCTAAAATGGTCCCCGCAGAGAACACCCAGGGCCAGCCAG